CCATCAAACTGCTTTCAAAACACCAAGCACTGTATCTTCTCTTTTCCCTCAGAGCCCTCACATGCACCTTGAGCATTCTGAGTATTGAGGCCAAAAAATTCACCTCCCAAATGTCAGGAAACACTGTTACTGGGATTAAAAAAAAATAAAAATCAACAGCTTAACATTTTAATAAAAATTTGTTTAGTCATTGATAATTATCTCTCAGATAACAAAATACACAGAGGATTAAACACAGCTTTCTCTAAGAAGCATGAATTTTCAAGCCATTTAACATCTTGCAATCGAAGTTGTTTTGAGCAAAACTGATTATCTCAATCTGCCAGTAAGGGATGACAAAGCTTTTAGAAACCACCTTTCATCTGTGTATCTCAAACCCAACTCACCCAGAGCAAGAGCCACTAAATGAGACCAAAGGCCACAGCTCAGGCTGTGGCTGATCAAGTGTCCCTCCATCCAGCAAAAAACCTCAGGGATGTTTAGGCAGTCAGTTTTACCCTGAAATCCATAGGAAGCCAGGTTCCAAAGTTCTTGTGGTCCTGGCTTAATGAAATAATGGTGGAAACTGGAAAAACTCCAGTTTCTCTGCTTCTTAATGAATTGCAGTGGACACACTAAATCAATGCTCTCTACCCACACACATTAATAGTGAGATGTGGGCAAGGAAAAGCCCTGGACACACCAGGGAGGGAATGGAGGGGCAACAACTGCAGCTTCTGCAGCGGGAAAAGCAACTGGGGTGGCAGGAGGATGAATGACTCATGGATCAGTAACTGCTGCTCAAATATTGCCTCAGCCACTGACCTCAGCCCAAGCCAAGATGTGCTCAGAACGGTGCAACACAGCTACAGAAGCAGGACTGAAAGAAAGTAAAGGTTCTTCAAACAGTGATTTTAAGAAGTGGAGATTTGGGGGTATCTTACTTTCTAAACTATGGGTTGAAAGCTGCAGAGCCATGTTCCCACACAATATTCCTAGAGGACACCACCAACTCCAGAACTACACATGTGTAAGCACAGAGCAAGGACACCCAGTGAGTAAGTTCGGTGCCATAATCATCACCTGAGAACACTAAATATATTCAAATCGTTACCTAATAATACTTAATACTGAGTTTAATCACAAGAAATAACACAAGGAAGCACATCTAAGGCACATACACAAGGCACATTTACCAGCCTCATTACAGTAAACCTGGTAGCATTGGTTTATCAGCTTAAACAATCAGCAGGTAATTAACTGTGCATTTAACAACTAGGTAGCAAAGTTTCTTCCCAGGGAAAATCAGATTGGAAAAGTCAACATCAGCTTAAACACGATTAACTTCCTGTCCCACTGCTGGTAAAGCAAATCCAATTTACTAAATAGTTTAAAGGGCGGGTTTTAATTATTTCACACACTTCCAAAGAATCCAACACTACACACAAATATGGATAAGCGGATCTGCTGCAGTGAACACAGACCCAGCACCACAAAACACCACTGGAATAAACACCCAAAGCCTTCTTAACGTGCTTAACACTCCCTGCACATCGAACTGCAGAAGCCCCCGTGGATATTAGTCAGAATCTGTCCAGGACAGAGACCACAAACAGCTGCAGTATCTATAATGTAATATAGATAATATAAATCCTAACTTGGTGCATCTCTTTCAGACCTCTCCATTACTTCCTATTTCTAAAACAATCTCTAGAAACAAATACACAACAAATAAACTCTTGTGAGTGGTATGTACATATTTTACCTGGTTTCAAGTGGCACACACCCCCCTTCCCCAGAAACAACCACAGACTACCCAATAATCTATACCTCTAAATAAATAAATATACTGATATATAAATATTTATCTAAAATCTCTTACACAGCAGAAACTGGGGGCTCCCAGACAAACGGTGTGGGAGAAACACAGCAAGTCACCCACAGAAATAGAAGGATTCAAATAAGCAGCTCACAGTTTTCCTGCCTCCCTACACTTTTTACCTAATACAGTAATTAAAAATTGAAAAACTGAAGTTTTCCAACTTTAATTGTTCGGCAGCAAATACAACCATTTGGTTTTAGCTATAACGGGGATTCAAAAAAACCAACGCAAAACAAACAAACCCCCCACAAAATTAACACTGAAAAGCAACTGTTTCACTCAAAGCGGCTCAGAATTGCTAAATAAATGGCTGCTGACCCACAGCATCACATCCTCGGGTCACAGAGTCTCCAAACTGTGGTTGGCCAGAACGCCCGATCTGCATGACAATAAGGACAAAAACATGGCTCCTCTCTCGTGCCCTCGGTGTGCACATCCCTCCTCTCCCACCGGCCACAGCCACAGCCAGCTCAGAGGATTAGCATAAGAATAGAAATCACTGGGAAAATCCACAGGCTCCAACTGCCCAGACTTGCTGACCTGCTTCACCCCAGACACCGACATGACTTATTTTTCCAAGGATAATTTATGGTCTTGAAAAGTTGATAAACACTTCGATTTGCTTCTCTTTTACTACAATATCAAGCAGCAGTCACAAGCACTGAGGCCGTGTTGCTGAGAACACGGCTGCGTTGGGCAGGGCACGTCTCAAGGATGAAGGACCAACCACCCCCTCCCTAAGATCGTGCTCTATGGTGAACTTGCCACCGGCTGCCACAAGAGAGGAGCCCCAAAGGGGAGATACAAGGACTCCCTGAAACAACATCTCAGCCTTGGCCATATTGATCAACAGAACTGGTCTACTCTGGCCTCCAATCGGGAGGCCTGGAGACACACTATCTATAACGCTGCTGATGCTTTTGAGAGCGCACGCAGGATGACTCTTGAGGAGAAAAGGTAACGCAGAAAGAACCGTGTCTTGCAGAACATAACACCTAAGGAGTCTTTCTGCTGTGCCTTTTGCAGTCGGACACATTGGCCTTTTTAGCCACCAGCGTGCTTGTAACAAACGTGGGTAGAGCCCTTCCCAAATCTTCGTTCGCGAAGCCCGGCCACGATGATGACTACAATATCAGATATTCCAAGGGCAGCTGCCGGAGCTGAGCAGTGACTCTGACACTGTCCACAGACATCCCACGAGCTCACCCTCAAATTCCTGCTCGAGTCTGGTGGAGAAGAATGGGGCGGTCAGGATCCTCCTCGGCTCACACCTACCTCGTAAAACCTGGAAAGTCAGGGAGCTCAGCAGCTTGGCTGGTCCAAGATGCTGCTGCAGCACACAAGAGGCTGAAAGCAGAGCCAGGAACTGCAGGTGAGGAGCACGCCCGGGACAGGATCTGGCCCTGTGACACCTCACCTGACAGAAGCCACCCGTGCTGACAGTCCCACGGGAGCAATCCCAGGGTTCTGCAGCCAAAATTCACACATTACCTACATCTTTTTATACCTTCTTCCCTTTCTATCCTCACCCTGGGACCAGCCAACAACTGTGAGACAATAGCTCTTGCCTTGGTCACAGCCACTGGAATCAGAACTACTACGTGGAAAAGAATATTTTGAGGAAGTGTGAATGAAAATAATCCCCCAGTTCATGAAAAGGCCAGCATCTTCCTCTTATTTGTGCAGAGCAGGATACAAAGGCCAAGGGAACCCATTCTAACTCTCCTACACAAACTCTTCTAGCCATAATAAAGTATGAAAAACATCATTTATTTTTGGAAACATGGATATTGGGCTCCTGCAAAACACACTGAATTTTTGTATAAACATATTGCTGTATTTGACGTGTTTGTTTTGAAATTGGGGAAGTTGACTGGAATCATACCCATAATGTGGTCTGACATTTCATGCAAAACAATGTATTCAAACAGCAAAATGACATTTCCTTTACAGATGTTCGCAAAAGAACCAGAAGCCCAGGGAGAAAGGGCCAAAGTAGCACTGCTCCCCTTTTTTTTTAGATTTCCTCCACTCCCTTTGGGATCTTCTCCCCAGCCAGTAAGTCACCACCGCAATCCTTCTCCCCTAAATCCAACATCACCATCATTCCCCTCACTCTGCATAATACAAACAGATGATTAAGAACCGGGATCCTGATATTCCACAACCCATCCGCTGAAAGTGGCACAAAACCACTGCAACATCCAGCTACAAATCAGACATAAAACCTAAAATGATTCCCCAATGATGTTTCTGATGACTTGCCTCAGATGCTCTTTGTTTCTTCAAAAACTCAACAAATACACTTTAAACAAACAAATCCCACATTAAGACCACAAGCTGAAAGACTGACCAATAATTTGCTTCTGGCAATGGACTAATATTTCTGCACCTCATGCACGGAGCGAATACCACAGTAACACTTTCAGTTCTGTTTCCCTAAATAAAAGGGTTTGCATTTTCCCAGACTGACTCCTTTCCACCTTTATTACCTCAATCACTATATGCCCTCAAAGGACTAAAATTTCGATTGTTCCAGCTGGTTCCGTGTTCCAGCATTACAAACCCATCAGCTCTACATGTGTACCCTGGTAAGGCACAAGCAACCTCCAACAAGTCTCACGAAAACAAACCAGTCCAAGCACAAGAACTATTTACTTGCTCTTTTATCATAAAGAATACGTAATGTTTTACTTCCCAGTCAAAATAAGTTGTTCGCTCAAGGCTAACCTGATTTTGCAAAACTAGAATGAGAAAACATCTGTGCAGCGGGAAAGAAATCACACGTGCAGGGTATTTGTCCCTATTCTGCAAAAGCTCCAACCTCAAACACTTGAAATGGATTTTAAGAGTCCTGGAACTGACTCAATTGGTTCATGTCAAAGAGGAGTGTCTGGTCACCTTCGGATGATACACTTAGAGTTCTTCTTGAGATGAAATGGCATGTCTTAAGCTTCTATCTTCTTGTTTTTCCACCTATTCCTCTCAATTGCATTCTTCTAGAGCCAACCAACACAACAAACTGGACGCCCCAGCCTCTGTCCAAAGTGCTGTTTGCTGCACCAGCTTGTGTGGAAAGTGCAGGGATGGAACAAAAATTGACTCATTCCCATCACCTCCTTACAATCCACCAGCCATCGCTCTGGTTTGGAGCAGCTCTTAGAGACGGAGAGAGGTTCCCAGGGGAGAACGGAGCGGGACGCACCGTTTGTGGAAGGAAACAGTGCCGTAGGTGAGCACACACGGGCGAGTTCCAAAGGTTAATCGACCTTTTTCCCAAGTTCCCCCTGCTCAGGGTCCAGACGCGTTATGGATCCTTCCCTGCAAGCCCTGACTCCCCACGCACCGCCCGGTTCCCGGCGCTCCGGCGGGAGCTCCCCGCGGGGTTGGGGTGGAGGGTGCCCGGGCACGGCAGCACCTGTTGGGCGAGCCCCGCGTGTGCCTGGGCAGGGACGGCCCCGGACACGGCCCCACGGAGAGCACAGCGGAGCCGGCACAAAGCCGGACCCGCGGGGGGACGGCACGGGCGGGCTGAAATCCCCATTATCCTTCCAGCCTTCCTTCCCACCGATTATTCCCGGCCCACAGGCGAATTCATCCCGCTCGGAGCGCCCCGGCCGAGCGGGAAGGGCGGCGGGAGCGGGGCGTGGGGAGCCACGAACCGAACAAAAACCCACCGCGACGGCGCCGCGAGCGCTCGGATTGGGGGTTATTTTCCATTTTTCCCCTCTCCCCCCGCCCCAGCGCCGCCCCCGCGCCCCGCCATGGCCGCGGTCCCCGTGCCGCGGTGCCGCTCCCGCCCCGCGCTCACCTCGCTCCGCCGCGGGGGCCCGGCCCGGGCGCCCCGACCGCCGCTCAGCAGCCCCGGCCCGCCGGCACCGCCATGGCCGCACCTGGGGCCGCAGGGCACGAGGGGCCGGGAAGGCCGGGAGGGGATGGCGCCGGCACACGACACACGACACACGATAGCCGGCACCGACACTCGGCGCTCGGTACCGGCACACGCCCCCCGCACACGGCTCGGGGAAGGGCGGCGGGGCCCATGCGCGGTGCTGCTCCCGCCGGCTCCGCCCCAGCCGGGAAGGGAAGGGCGGGAGGAGCCGCGGACGGAGGGAGGGAGGGATGGAGGGGACGTGGGGGAGGGAGGTGAGGGCACCGGCTTGGGCTGGACGGGGGTCTGATCCCTGCCTGAGAGCAGGGTGGAGTCAGGTGGGGAGTCGGGCTCTGCTCCCAGGTAACCGCGGCAGAAGAGGATGCAGCCTTAAGCTACGCCTGGGGAGGTTCAGGTTGGACATCAGGAGGGATTTCTTCACAGAAGGGGTGATTAAACATTGGAAGGGGCTGCCCAGGGAGGTGGTGGAGTCCCCCCATCCCTGGAGGTGTCTGAGGAACGACTGGCCATGGCACTCAGTGCTCTGGGCTGGGGAACAAGGGGGGGATTGGGCACAGGATGGACTCGATGGTCTCCGGGGTCTCTTCCAGCCTCAGTTGTTCTGGGATTCAGGGACCAAAGCCACGGCACCTGGGCTGCTGTGATGGGGAAGCTGCAGGTCTGTTTCCCCTCAGTTTGGGAAATGTGTCCCTTCAGTGTGGGGGACGTTTCCCTTCAGTTTGGGGAATGTGTCCCCTTGTTTCCCCTCGGTGTGGGGGATGTTTCCCTTCAGGGAAGCACTGCCTGGTGTGCCTGGGGTTTGGGGTCAGGCTGGGCAGGGAAGAGTTTGTGTCCATGTGATGGCTGAGGATGAGGGTGAAGGTGGTGGGGTTATTTCAGGTTGGAAGGGACCACCTCCCTGCTCCAGCAGGGCCATTGCAGAGCACATGGCACAGGATTGTGTGCAGACGGGTCTGGGATATTCCCAGTGAGGGAGACTCCACACCTTCCCTGTCCAGCCTGTTCAATGCTCGGTCACCACACAGTGAAGTTCTTCCTCATGTACGTGGAATTTCCTGGGCATCAGTTCCTGCCCATGGCCTCTTGTCCTAGTGGCTGGTACCACCAAGCAGAGCCTGGTCCACCCTCTGACACCCTCCCTTTAGATATTTATACACATGGATGAGGTGTGTTTTGGGTCAAGGGATGGAGGTGTGTGAGGTGCTGGGGCTGGTCCAGGGGCAGCAGGAGGGATGGAGCTTGGCAGGGATGTGCAGTGGCCTCTGTGTGTGCTCTGTTGAAGCTATGGCTGCTCCTGGCACAGAATCACAGAATGGTTGGGGTTGGAAGGGACCTCTGGAGATCATCCAGTCCAACCCCCCTGCCAAGGCAGGGTCACCTGGAGCAGGTGACACAGGAATGCGTCCATGTGAGTGTTGGAGGGAAAATACTCAAAAACTTGCCAAAGAAGTCCTGAGGTTTGTTTGGGTCTGTTTTACTGTGTCTAGGCATGGTCCCTCTCTGGGGTGGGTCCCAGCCAGGAGGGATGGACACCCGGTACCTGCCTGCACCAGGGCCCTCCCACCTCACTGTGGTGGTGCAGATCCACAGAGGTGTTTTGCTGCAGCCACAGGATATGTTCACCCATGGACAGGCCACTTGCACACCCTGTTCACTGTACAAAGCCTTGGCCTCTGGTTGAGCTTCAGATATATTAAACATAGTCTTGAGTGTTGCTTTATCAGCAAAAGTTAATTCACACTTTTAAGTGGGGTTTAAGTGTTAACCACAAACTTCTTTCTCCAGATAAGCGCCTCTTTGAATGCAAGGACCTGCAGTGCTTTAGTAGAGGATCTTTTTGATAGAGCCATTATCCCATGTTGAGTTTTGATAGCTGACCCTAAACCACTTCATAATGTGCTTTATAAGCTTTATTAGCATGTCCAGAAACACACAACTGGAGTTTGCTGTCAGCAGGCAAAGTGCAAACCCCTCCCTGAGAATTGTGCCATTTGGTGGCCGCAGAGGTTACAAATCTGATTGCTGCTCTGTGTTTATTCCATCCTCAGTGGCACTGCAAGGCACTTATCCTGGGAGCACTCCCTGCCTTTGGCATGAGCCCAGGGGCACAGCGTGAGGAACGTGGGGAGGTGTTGGGGATCATGGGTGTTGCTGTGCATCTGGAATTCATGGCAGAGCTGTGAGATGTGCTTTGTCTCAGACACGGGGGTGACAGCCACATTTGCATTGCAAAAACAAATATAAAATTGCCCACTAGATACACTTTCAAAAATATTTTAAATGAGAGACATAGTTGAAACTGTTCCACGAGCTGGATTTGATGCTTTCTGGTTCTCATTCCATCTGTGAAACACTGTCATATGTAATCTGCATTAAGGCTCTGCTGATACCAGCTCTCCATTTGGATAAATGATACCACTCTGTGCTAATGTATTGGGTGACTAAGAAAGGCAAGCCTGGGCATGCACAAGTTCTGAGCTGTGAGCTTTAATTTAAAAGATTTGAAGAATTTCTAGTTGTTGTGATGAAAATTTTTCAGAGCCTGCTGTGAGTAACCGATGGTGACTATAAATGTGCTGAGTCTGGAACAATAGCTCTGAGACATGTGAACTGCTCCGTGTCAGCATATGCTGTGCCAGATGCCAACAAACAAAACCGGAGGGAAGAACAATGGAGCTGGGCCTCCAACAGGAGACAGCAAAGGAGACGTTCAGAGGAGACAGCAAATCATGAAGATGTTGCACAGTAGCCCCTGAAACAGGGAATAGCGTAATTATGTGGGCTAATAAACAAAAGAGGATGCAGAAAACACACAAATTACAGTGATCACAAGGCAAAATGATGTGATGCATTGTGCTACCTACAGCTCTGATCCTGTCAAACCTGACTAGGGAATTAGGATGAGCCAGGACAGTCCCTGCAGGGCTCACTGCTGATAAACCTCGGGTGCCAGAGCAGTTTATTGGCTTCATATTTAGGAGACAGATTTAGTGGTGTGTGAGGAGGTGATCCCTATCTATCTATCACTGATTTGGGTGACTTTGAAATTCCTGGATGAAAGATACCCAGAGCATCCCAAGCAGCTGAGCCTTTCCCTCTGCAATAGATGCCATCACCTCTCTGGTGGTTTTACTTCTTCCTTATTTTGACTGGCTGCCTCTATGTGATTTCTGCAAGGCTTGTTTGTTGCTCTTCCCGAGCAGAGTATTTTTCATTAGTCCTGTCTAACTAAAAACAAATGGTGGGCTGCATGTGGGAATGCAGCTTGGGAAAACTGGAGATCAAAGGGAGGTCCTGACTCAGTGCTGAGATTCCCGGCTGCATTTCCCTTTAACTGCCTCCCACCAAGCTGTGCCTGGTGATTTGGAGCTCACTGCCTTCACTTTTGTGTCTGAACATCTTTCCTTTAAAAAAATGATAAATAAAGGGAGAATGGTTTCCCTTCTTCTTTCTGTTTCTTGTCAGTCCTTGCTAATTTTCTGGAAAACTTTAATGGCTCTTCATGAGGCCAGGAAGTGCTTCCACTGGAATGACCAGTGCAGAGCCCTGGCATCCAGCTCCCCCAAACAGGAAAGGACTGATCTGAGTTGCTTCAGCCCTTGCCAGTTATAGGTTGCTGCTGTGTGTCCAGAGGGCCTGTCTGCCCTTTCCATGGATCTGAAGGTCACTCAGCTCCATCACCTCATCAGCAAGTCAGCCAGGGCTTCCAGGAGCAAACCTTCCCCAGGGGATGAGAGGGAAGGATGTGGCCAGGTGTCAGTTCCCTCATGTCTGACTTTTCAGTTCCACCTTTAATAACTGCTGCATATTTATTTTTTACCAGGGATATCAATTTTTTTCTCAAGTGAGGACTTTTTGATCCACATGATTATCTTTTTCCACCTTATATTTTTTTTTTTCAGGGAGGAACAAGACTAGAGAAACTGAAGAAGGGGATTTTGCCTGGCTTGGAATTGTTGGACTTTCGAGAGGTGGCTTTTTTGCCTGGAAATGTCAATGGCAAGATGCCTCTACTGAGAGAAGCTCTAGAGATCAGCTCTGTGCTGGCTGGTGCAGAGTTTAGTTCTGGTTTACATCGGGTTGTGCTTTGAGAAGATGTTCATGTGAGATAACACTGTATCTTTCCTCCCTTTACTTCATGTTCTGTTTCTCTTAAATATTTTCCTTGGAGTGAAATGATAAATATTTAAGAAATCAGTTGCACTTGGAGACTTCTGAGCTTTCTCTGTTCTGAGAAGATGCTGATGCCAAGCAGTACTAGGCTCTGTTTACAAAACAAACCACGACCACAACAAAGACTCTGAAAGAAAAAAAGGTGAGGAAAGGAAGAGTGAGAGACAATGTATTTCTGTTCCTGAAAGCTGCTTTGCATTTCCCTAGCACCTTTCCTCCCAGTGTTTCAGGGCACATCACAAGCATTCGTCATGGCTCAGGCTGGATTTGGAAGAGGAGTGAGGCAATTCCTGTCACCCTTTGGAGAATGAGTCTCCGGGATATCTATAACCCGGGAGAAAGGCAAGTCCTTCCTGCACTGGGGTTGCTGGTCACTGCTGTATGTTCAAAGAGCCTGTTTTATGGGGTGCTGAACTGGGGCTCCTGGATAAATCCTGCAGAGAATCTTTACGAAGCTAAACCAGGAAGGGTTTTGCCATCAAGAAAAGAGCATCAGTACAACTAGTACTGATTTCATTAACTTCAGTTTTCAAGTAATCTTCATTTCAGCTGGAAAAGCAAGGAATTCAGTTAGGGCTGGGATATCAAGTGTGAAATCTTGCCTCTGTTGAAGGCAGTAGGAGCATTGCTATTGACAGTTGGAGCCAGGCTCTTTCCCAGAAGTAGATATTAATGATAAGAGCAAGAGATTTCATCCAAGTCACTTCAGTAGCAAATCTGGCATGTTTGAGAGGACTCTGCAGGAGGGGAGACAAAGGCTCTGTCATTACCAATATCCCTACTCATGTTTTCAGAGAATAAATATATCTTTTCCTGGCAATGAGTGTATTGACTCTGTCTGGCTCATTGCTCAACTGGTCACTCTGTGACAGGCTGTGCTCCCTTCTCCAGTGTTTTGTATTCAGACATCTCAGCTCATATTCATCGGCTATAGGAGAGGGATTACTTCCTGCAGTATTTTATGGCTAGAATATTTTGTATTTTGAAGTATGAGTATCTCTCTGACTCATGTAGGACAAACCCACCATATCTCTGTTATTAAAGCTGCTCCTCCTTGGGAAAGGAAAGGGCGTGGTGTGTACAACATGAGAGATATCACTGTGTGACTACCTGGCTCCTTTCTGTACCTTCTACGGGGACAAGGCATGAGCATTTGTCACTGATGATGCTGCAGCTTGTTGCTGTTGGGTGATGTTTTCCAGAAGGAGTGATAAACAGGAAGATCTCTGAATGATGTGGTCATACCAGGTGTGAGATGGATATGCATTCTGTGTGGTCAGCAGCAGAGGTAAGTAAGTCAGAGATTTTACTGAGGGTTAAAGAGCTCTGGTGGGGATAATCCCTGTTATCCCCAAGGTAGAACAGCCCCCAAATTCCAAAGAATAGCTGATACAGACCCTTTAATTGGGCACATTTCTGTACACATGCACAGCTCTGTGAATGCAAGTGACTTCTGGCCTCACAAAGATAAGCATTCAGAATAAGTGAGATCAGATTTTTAATGAACCATTCATTTAGACTATTTAGCACAGAAATTACCATCCTCTGAAATGGCTTGGCTGAAATAGTCATTGCATACTCAAAATGCTTGCAAACAGCAGTCTATATTTGCAATATTCTATAGCCTTCACCCCAAGAATTGGACACTTTTCCACCCTTTTAAAATTATTACTATTCTGTCACCCCTGTGGAGAACATTGTGTTTGGTTATAGGAGGCAATGAGAAAGATTAGAATAAATTGATTTTTAAAGCCTTGAACCTCTTAATGTTTACAAAATAGTCTCTGGGCCTGTGCATATGTAAAGTTCAGCTGTGTATAAATACAAGCAGAGCAGAATATTACTTTCTCTTCCAGCCTGTCTCTTTGATGGGCAAATCCACCCAGATGAGAGCACAGGCTGCCGAGTGGAATTCTTCCACTTACTGGGCTTCTCTTGCGTGCAAATGTGATGCTCTGCTTGGGACAGAGGAAAACTGCTCTTTTGACTACTGGCTCTCTAATCCTCCCTTTATAGTCTCAGAACTGTTCCTGGAGCTATCCTGCCATGAAGCATCTGTGAAATCAAGTGACTCGTTGGGTCAATCACATGGCTGTTTCTCCGAGAGCAAACGTCATTCCAGCTGCTCTGACCTTGGTCACAGGGAAGCAGGAATGTGTGGCAGCTCTGTGCTTGTTCACAGAGTTTCCCTCTTTAACCCCCTTGTGCCAAATTTTCCTGAAGTTTGCAGACTTGCCATTGTTTTGGTATAATCTGACAGACCCCCCAGCTGTGGGATGGGCGTTGCACCATCCGTTTTCCAAGTGGTGTGGGTGGAGAACTGCCTCAGCTTGCTCTGGGAATGAGAGCAGAGACTGAGGAGTGAACAAAGCAGGGGAGAGGGGCCCTGCAAGGCTCAGCACTTGTGCATTCCTGTGACTTGCTAAACAAGATCTCTGTGGAATAACTTGATACTTGGATGCTTTTTCTATGGAGAATGGACCTTGGGTTTCAGAAGTTGGTGTGAATTAAGACATATAGTGTTATACCCACCCTGGGAGGAAAAAGCTGAGAAAGAACATGAACTTAAAACATCAGAGCACACCAGTGAGTAAAGATATGGGCTGAGGGAAAACAGTGAGTAAAGATATAGGCTGAGGGAAACCCAGCAGTGTCCTGGGATCCAGCTGGAAAAGGATATCCAAGGCACTTGGATATGGCCATCAGACTTGCAGGGTAGAGCAGCCCCTGCCTTGTTTTCACAGACACTGGTTTGGTGCTGCTCCCCACCATGTTTCATGCATATTTTGTTGTGTAATAATTTGTAAGTGTATGACTGTGTGTGGCCAGAGCTGCCTGTTTCTATTCATGTCTCTCCATCGCCTGGAATGAGGGAATGTGGCAGATTGGAGCAGGCCTGAGGTTTAGCTGCACAAGCTGGATGAGTATCCTGTGAGAAATGCACTGTATCTTGCATTTTTAATCTTAGATTTTCTCTGTCTCTGTTAGAGAGTGGCTTAACCCCTGATACAGGAGCTGTGACATCCAGTTGTAATAATGGTAATTGGGGCATTTCCTTATACTGCGCATGGGTTGGCTTAGAGTTGGGCTGCTGTAACCCTGAGGGCGTGGCATGAAGTCTAGAGGATCTTTAGTTCAGAAAAATTATGAGGAGTTGAAGGATGTCTGAAAGATGGTCTGAAAACATCACGGGAGGGAATGTGGAGGTGAACTGATGAGATGGGGAAAGCTTAAACCAAAGTGACGCCTGTCAGGGCCGGACCTGGGCTGAGAGCTGAACTCTGCATCCCAGCTGCACCCAGGGAGTCACATTCCTGCCAGGACGGTGAGGGAAGGGAGGCAAAAGGAGGGGCTGCACAGGGCAGGTGCCAGAAATGCCCTCTGGAACCTGCTCTGGAGCTGGGATGGACGGATGGCATTTGGAGGGGCTCCAGGAGGGCCTGATGGAGCTGTCAGGGGGGAGCATGTCACACACGATACAGATGCTTGGCAGGCTCTGGCTGATAGAAACTTGTGGATGGTTTTTCCCCTCACATGCGCTTTGGACACAGCCACATACAAGAAAGCTGTATTTTGGGGAGGAACTAGTGAAATGCATCACAAAGGGAAAGGCTGCGCTGTCAAGAGGGTTTAAGAGCAAGCAGGACAGAGCGAGACCCAATTATTTTGCTATGTCCCATATAATCTTGCATTTATTCCTTTCCTGAACTGGAACACTTCCTCCGATCCTTGTGCAATCCTGATGAGTCTGAAGCTCAGCCCACACTGGTGATCGTGTGGTGTTTGTGTTGGGTTAATCAGCATGGGGAGAATCACCAAAATTTTTGGTGAAATCTTCATCTATCTTAGAATTCAAGGGCTGAGGCATCTTTTTTGCTGTTCTGTTGTTCACAGAATCAAAGAATATCCTGAGCTGGGAAGGACCCACGAGGATCATCAAGTCCAACTTGTAAGTGAATGGTCCCTGCAGGGATCAAACCCACAACCTTGGCATTGTTGTTGTTCCAGGGAACTGATCCCACATCTGAGGAAAGAGGAGAGATTATTTTTCAAGCTTCTGTTAAATTATTTTTTTATCACTTTTGTGGTTTTTTTCTGGTAAACAAACATTCTGTGAAATTCAGGGATGGATAAAACTCTCCAGCAGCTGGTTAGAAGAAAAGCCACAACCGAACCAAGTGCTTTTATTTGGCTGTGAACTCTCCAAAAGCTCAGGGTGGTTACTTACATCAAATGCACAAGCTGGGAATTCCTGTCTTTGTAGACTTACACCTAAGAGAGGAATTTTTATTTTCCTCCCCCACCTCAGAGCTGGGGGAAGCCCGAGTTGATCCTGATTTATAAGAACTATGTAATTACAATCAGCAGCAATAGCTGCCATAAGATCCTGGTGCTCAGTGCTGAACAGGAATTAGTGTTGCATATTTATCTGGAGGATGAAAATATCTACAAATATCTATAAATATATTCAGTTATTATTAGAAGAGCTATTTAAATCTTATAGTGGTTGAGTGTCCCAGATATCAACTGAGGAAGCAAGGGAAACCTCCTCTTGCAAATGAGTTACTGGGGAGCGTTTCATCCTGAGTTTTGCTGCTCCAGGGCAGTTTTCCTGGGCAGGGCACTCATTTCAGCTCAGCCATTCATCTCATTTTTCACAAAACTTAGTCCACAACTGTAAATATTTGTGGCAACTTGCCCGTGCTGTGTGACCTTTAACAAAGACAGAAAAGCTCTGGAAGGCTGCTGATATTTTAGGGCACAGTCTTTAAGAAAACTCATTAATGTAGCACTCCACCAATGGTTATTTGCGGGGTTTTTTTAGAGAAACTTTTGTTAACGCAAAATATTTTATGGTGCTTTGTTTATGCAAATAAATGATTCTGTAGGAATTTAATGATCTTACAAGTAAATGTAAGAGTCTTTTAAAGTGACTGTCACCTACTCAGCCCTCACAAATTACCTGTAGCTTTGGGCTTCACAAAGGTTAACACAGAACTATAAAACTGAAGCCTTTGAAACAGCTCAAAGCTCAGTACTTACCTTCACAGAACTCACAGTACTAAACTTACTAAAACTTCACCCTGATTTTGCTGTACTGAGGGTCAATTTGTAATATTTCTGCAGTAAAAACCAGAAATCACAGTCATTTTTAAGGGCTTGTGGACCTCAACACATAATTCTTTTAGGCCTGTATAGATATTATTTCCCTTAAAGTACCATATAAAAACCTTAATCTGTAGATTAAAGAAACATTAAAGCTGCAAAGTTTAACCTGAACGCACGGATAGAAGACAGCAGACAGAAAGCAAGCTGAGGAGATGAACACTGCATTTAAGAGCTGTGCAGTTGGGAGTTGCTGCAGAGCTGGGCAGACACCAGGGCTACAGCACTGGAGGGAAAAGGTGATTGTTGCACACGTCAGACTTCTGGCTGTTGGCACTGGCCATCCTGAAAGCCTGGAATGGGAGAGGCAGAGATCCTGAGCACCAAGCCAGACTAAAGTGTGAGTTATAGCAGAGAAGGTGATAAGAACTGTTGAGTTGTGGCAACTTCAACAGCAGGTGGGAGATGTTCCAGCTTCTGTACCTACAGGACATAGCAATAACAAGGGGGAGTAAAGTTCCCTGGGGATGATTTCTGCAGGAATTGAGCTGGGCTTGTGCTGGGAACCTGCAGCTTAACCTGGCTCTTCCAGACTCTGCACAGCCAACAGAGGCTGCTCTGGCCCGTGGGCACTGGTCAAGGATCCCAGATGAGGGCAGGCAGCATCCCAGAGAGCCAGATGGAGCTGTGAGAGTAGGGACAACCTGGGGGAAAAAAACACTGGAAGAAAGGGAAAGGTTGAGGGTGGCTTTGGGCAATGGGAAGGACAGAGGAAGTAGGAGAAACAAGCAGGGAATTTTGCTAAAAGGTTCCTTCACTGATTGATTGAACCTGCACTGAGGAGAAACTGGCCTTAGGTCAAGTCTGCAGTGCTTTTATGTGATTGCTCTCCCTCTGAGCATCCAGAGTGACAGCTGGGCCTGTGGACAGCAAACAAGAAGGGCATAAGAAATGTCCCTTCCAAGGACAGTTCCCCAGTATATCCTTTACATGCCCATCCAGGAGTTGTGGGTCTGTTTTACCCCCCAGCTCTTCTGTTAGGAAGTGAATAGGAAGTGCACCCACCTCCTTGCATCTGCAGATTTGTTTTAAAATGCTGCATCATCAGTTGTGGCACTTTTTTGGAGCTCATTTATGATATGGGAGCTCTCAGCTGTCCCTGGAGCAGAGCCATGTTCCAGCCCCTTGAAATACATGTTGATTAAATATGTAGGTCAGAAAACAGAAAGCACATCCCCATTTATTTAAGAGATGACAGTTTTGTTGCCTAATGCTTTATCACTGGAGTTGCTGATAATTTTTTGAAAGTAATATAATAACAGCTTTGTTCTCAGCTGAGAGATTAAGGAGGGTCCCCAGGTGCTGCTTCCCAAAGGGCAGGTGCAGGTTATGTAGTGACAGGACACAGGGAGTAGCTTTAAGCTGAAGGAGGGCAGTGTTAGATTAGGAATTAGGAAGAAATTCTCCCCTGTGAGGGTAGGGAGGTCCTGGCACAGGTTTCCCAGAGAAACTGTGGCTGCCCCATCCCTGGAAGTGTCCAAGGCCAGGTTGGACAGGGCTTGGAGCAACCTGGGCTAGTGGGAGGTGTCCTGTGTGTTGGAATGAGATGGTCTTTAATGTCCCTTCCAACCCAAAACATTCTGTGGTTCTGTCATTCAGTGGCAATAATTATTAAAAATACCTGCTAGGGGATAAGGATGAGGACTGCTGGGATAGAAGAATTACTAACAAGCAGCAAAGTCTTCAGAGCAGAGTCTCTCTCTGTTTCATGAATAGGCTGATAAACCCAAGTGCTTCTCCACAGTGATATCAAACCAAAAATTATGACTGAAATCCTACTGGCAATTGTTGCCCCCGAGCCTTCATTATGGCCCTGTTTTTTTCCTGATCTTCCAGCCCCGAAGGAATTGGCCAGGGAGCTCCTGCTGTCTGGCTGGTTTGTGCTGACTGTCCCCCCCAGCTCTCTGGAGTAGTTCACACAGCACTGAGTGAAAAGGATGCCTGGTCTGACTGAATCATTCCTCATTAGCTCAGTGGGCAGCAGATTTAGGAGCTAGATTTGCAATGAACATTTATTAGATTTTGTCTCTTCTGGGGATAGCTAATTTTTTTTTATCATCAGATTCCATGACTTAGTAGCATAATTAGCTATTAGACATATATACTCCAGTCAAGAGCTGCTTTTTAATTTTTTTGTAAGCCTGCTTAATCTAGGGGACTTTCTTTTCTCATTTATAGGGGAGTTTTGCACAGTTCTTCTGACAAGTGCAAGATAGCCAGTGGGAATGAGATCTGTAATTAATCCACTGAATGCTCAGTGCAGGCAGAACAGCTCTTGGGTGAAGAAACTCTTCATGCTCTGGAAGGTACCTGACAGGAGGGCAAACACTGTTAGAATGGGGTTTTTCATGTGGTGGGTTTTTTCACCCAGTAAATTCATTTCGGGTATTGCGGGCAGGAGGGAGAAAATTCTGTCTTTCACCATTCCCCTGACTTTTGAACAGTCCCATGTGCATGATTCTGCACTTCCTCATGGAGAGCTGATTTACTGGGTTTCTAGGAGCAAAAATAAATTAAGCTTGAGTCCAGTTTCCCACCCTTTCTTGTCGATGTGTGTGTTGAGGGGGTGGTGTGTTAAAAGGGAGCTCAGCACTGAGAGCCTGAACTGTGGGAGGTCCAGATTCAGCCCTGGCACTGCCAAGCTGTGTGAATTTGGTCACGTCTCCTCCCTGTCCTTTGGCTTGGCATCCATAGAAATAACTCCAGAGATTTTGTGGTAAAATGGGAGCCCCTTGGCTGCTGCTGTATTAGGGTTTGTCACAAAAGTGTTAAACGTGGTGGGAAGCACAGAGTGAGGACGGTTGTCCCTCTCAATTAAGCTGTTCTTTTATGTAACACTGCTTGGTTTACTGCTCAGGAAGTATCTTGGTTTCTTGGCTCTCTGGCTGCTGGAGTACCTGCCATTTATTGCAATTGACCTGGGAGACTGTTCTCCAACTGCCTGGTGTTCTTGGACCAGACTCAACCCCCTTTGATTCCTGTTGTCCTTTTGTCTTTGCTTACTTGGCTCTAAACATTTTGTTCCTGAACACAGGCCCAGGTTCTCCTCTCCCCTCATGCTGCAGCAAATCCAAACACTGCTTCCGAAGCAATTCATCAAGAAGCATTGACACACATGAAGGGAATTAGTACTCTTGATTTTTACTTTTTCCAAGTTTTGTCAACGATTCTGTACTGCTTTTCCCAAGTGTTCCTGTATTATTTGACTATACTTTGCCTGGTGATAATCCACATTATTTTTCCAGTTACCTGATCCTCCTTCAGGGCTTTGTAGTGACAGCAGAAGCCACACCAACAGTGGAGGAGTTTTGTGTGCAGCTGCCTGACTCCCGGGTGGATATCCCAAAATCCAGGCATGTCCACACAGCCATATTCCCAAGGCAAACTCACTTATTCGGTCGCAAAACACCCAAAACGTGGAGTGAAGATGGATAGGGAATGGGGCAAAGTCTGCAGGAGTGCTGGCTCTCCAGATTGGATCTGGAGGCAAGACCTCTGCTAATGGTCTCCTGGTGGAGTTTGCCAGAAAGGAGGAACAAAATTATGTTCGTGATGTAAAAGCTGCTTTTCCTATTACCTCTCCTGATCTCCAGGGAAGAGTGGAGTTGGCAAAAAATGGAAAATAATTAAGGTCTGAACAGAAATAGTAACTGTCCCAAGGTGTTCAGTGTTATTCTGTCACAGCTTTCTTCACACTGAGTCCTTTTCCCATTTTATTGCTACATTCTGTGTCAAAAGGTCTCCCAAAGTGACATTTGGGCTAAGCTGCTGTTCTCAGCTCCTCTGCACTGTGGCACTCTGGTCACATCAGCACCTGCCTGTGCCTGGAACTGCTCTGCCTTCAACCAGCTGCCCTTTCCCTGGGTTTATGGCAGAGCTTGCACCAGTATCCCAGTCTGAGATGAAAAAAACCAAACCCTAAACCACAGACAAACACAAAAAGACACCCCCCCACACAAAAGAGTGGTGACTCTCCAGGCCAGGTTGGATGGGGCTTGGAGCAACCTGGGCTAGTGGGAGGTGTCCCTGCCCATGGCAGGGGGTGGGATGAGACGGGCTTTAATGTGCCTCCAACCCAGCCCAGTCTGGGATCCAGCAGCAACTGCTCTGACTGTGGAGCTGGATGTGAACAGGCTCTGCTCCTCTCTCCTGGATAGTACCAGAACTTACAGGAGTCAAAGTGTGCCCTGCTCAGATCGAGGCCTCTTTAGGGCTGTGCAAAACTGCAGCAGATCCCATCCAAAATCTCTTATTTTGGATTGTATTTAGCCTTAACAGCCTGATCTCAATATTGCTGAGAGGAGGAAAAGTGTTAACCCTGTTTTGTAAATGGCCAAAACTGCAGAGGCTGAAGTGGAGCAGGGACTGTAATCCCTAATTCTAAATTTTCTATTAAAACCCTAATCCCTGGGCAATCCTTCTGCTTCAGGCAGACTTGGGGATGGATGGGGTATAATTTATCTGAAGTGATGCACCTGCCACTGTTTAAAGCCACTTGTTTTCCTTCTAGCCCTATGTCAAAGTGGCTTTTTTTATTTTATTTTTAGTTTTTGACTGACAAATTCATTTTTTGCTGGAGAGATTAAAAATTGAATTGTTTGCATTTTGTAGGTCTCTGTTGGAGTCCTGTGGTTCAAATACTTCAGTAAGTTCCATATAGACTAACAGTATCCTGGGACTGATACAGGTTGATGCCTAGACTGGATAAAGAGGAAAAATCCAAGCACGTGGTTTCCAGAATTCACTGGCTGGTGAGAATCAAAACATCTCCTGATTTGCCTGAGGATCTTAATTTTTTTTTGGAAGATATTTAATGGGAAAAGGGAGAAAAATACAGATATTTCACAGAGAATATAGACAGAACAGCAGGATGGGGGGAGTGTGGAAGTAGGTCAGATGCATTGCAGACAAAAAAAATCATTATTATGATTAGGAGAGATTAAGGAAGGCAAGAGCAAACAGCATCAAAGGAATCCAATTTATCAAGCCATTTAAACAAGAGCGTTCCTTGCGAGGCAAGTTCTCCATACTGCACATCAATTTGGAACAAAATGAGAGGAGACTGTCCCACACTATATATCTAATTCAAGAGCTACTCTTCTCTAAATTAATCCATGAAGAAACCTGTTTTAATTGTCGTGAGGAACAAACACTGCAGAACTGCTGCCCACCTTCCTTGCTTGAGTTCTTTCAGCTCTTTCATTTTTCAGGCTCTAATTACCACTTGGAGCTGCAGGTGAGGGATGCACTGGGGGAATGGCAGTGCTGGCTGACAGCACTCAATCAATCCCTGCTGCAGCACAGCAGGTGCTTCACATGAAATAAGGAGAGTCTCAGCTCCAAGATTTCGTGTAAAAGGCAATTTATAAGGGTGAAGTTATTTCTTCTGAGGACATTAAGAAACTTGGCAATGACAAGTAGATTTTGTTGCTTAACTTTTGGGCAATGAGGAGCCTGGGAGATGTGACCAGATGTGACTCAGTCTCCTTTTCTGCCCCTTTTTTTTGGTTTTGATGAGCTTCTCTGTCCCATGTGCCATAACAGCAGGGACGTGGATTTTGAGTTGAATGAGGTTTGCTTGCCTTGTTTGTATCAGAAATACTGAATACTGAAAACTTTAGCTCTGTAAAACAGAACATTCTTCTCCTCCAGCATGTTTTGGGGTTTTTTTTATGTACCAAAGAGACTTTAATGGTAAACATAGGCAGTGCCTCTTCATTTGCAAGAGGCCTTTTGTAAGACAGACCCTGTGCTGCATGAATTCTGTTGTAATTGAGATTTTGAGGCCTGTGAGACAGACCCTGTGCTGCATGAATTCTGTTGTAATTGAGATTTTGAGGCCTGTGAGACAGACCCTGTGCTGCATGAATTCTCTGACTTCACCCCAAGCTGGAGTGCTCCTTGCATGTTTTTATCATTGGCTTGGGTCCTCCAGACAGAAACCACAACCTCTGAGCTGTTTGACAGAGCTCAAATGTTTCTTAGCAGGAGCAAGCTGTCAGAAATTTGAACAAGATGTTGATGTCTCTTAGCAGTGGGTTAAACACTGGCTGAACATCTGAAATCTCAGAGCTCTGCTGCCAGGGCTGGTTGTGCAACCTGAACCAGGCCCTGCAGAACTGCTGACTCGAGCCAGAGTGGGGGGAAAGTTTGGCATTTTAGAAGTTTTTCATTAACAACACATTTTATGCCACTCATTAGTTGCCTATTCAGGAGGAACTGGGGGCTGAAGAATGCTGAAATTTCCAAGTGTTGGTTCCCCATCCAGCTGAAGTTACAGCTGGGGCATCCTCAGCCTTCCAAGATGAGAAGTCGATTCTTTTCTGCTGCTTTTGCAGTGATTTGGGGCAGTACAAACCCAGCCTGAGTGAGCTCCTTTGTTCCTGACTGGCTGTCACATTGTCACTCTGGCAGGGTCACCCTTCAGGTCCAGACACTGCCACAACTCTGCTCTTTGTACAGCAGATATTTCTGAGATTGGTGGAAATAACCTGACTCTCCTTTGTTTGGGCAACAGAGTGAGTGTATGGGGAAAATCTCATCCCCAGTCTTGTCTTGGACCTCTTCCAAAGATTGGCATAAATGTGGAAGCAAGATATTCATCTTTTTATTTTGATGAAACTCCAGATCCTGATGGTTTTATGCATGTTAAAGGCTTCCTTCAAGTCTTGCTACCACAGCTCTGACTGGTCTAAGTTGTTCTGGAGCTTCTGGGCTCAATAAAATTATGGTAAATTTTACCAGTAAGATTTTGGTCCCTTTTTACTGTGATTTTTGCTTGACAATACCAGGGAACTCAATCTCAAGGGTCTGTGGTCCAGCACCCTGTGCAGTCTTGGGTATGAGATCCCAAGGTTTAGCATTTCAAGCCCTGCTTTGGAGTGCAGTGTTGGGGGTTGATCCAGTCTGATGGTATGTGGGCTTGGAAGGAGAAAGGGAGCAGCAAGGCATGAAGCACAGCTGCTTCTTATAAATCAGCACACTGGAAACACACTTGAATCACATTGTGGAAAAGAATAAGGAAAAATTAGGCCTTGCCACAATTGTCTGGATATTTGGACTCTGTTTCTAAATGTGCTACTGACTCCTGTGACACCCTGTAAGTCCTTTTAAATACTGTGTGGTTAAGATTTCCCATTTACAGGAACACTGGCAGTGGTTTAAGACTTAATTAATGCTGATGAAGAACACTGCGTTGCTGTAGAGCTGCTGGGGAAAAGGGCGAGTCTTGCCATTATTATTACTATTAGTATTGTTCCATCTTGAAGCTGTCAGATTACATAAATCTGGGCAGATGCCTTAAAGCATTGTGTGCAGAGGGAAGCTCTCTAAAGGAACAAATTCCCTTTTCCTTTGTCTTGGACTAAAATATCATAATTGTATGGGAAGGTAGGACAGCTATTGCTGAAAAGGAGGTAGAAAAGGGTAGGAAGGAAGATAATGCACCTCGAGAAAAAGAAGACACGGGAGAGATTTTCCTCCAAACCAATAAAGGAACAGGAATTATCTCCAAACTGGCCTGGTGAGAGTGTCCAATAAACACTTTGACATTAAGGGGCTGTGAGACAGACTGTTCTTAACACCTTGGAGTCTGAGATAATAGCATTAAATGGTATTTCTTTTTCACCTGAAAGTCTTAAAGGTGTTTTAAACACATCAGCTGGACACCCAAACTCATTTGCCTTCTTTGTGGCAGTCTGGCCTAACAGATCCATAAACTTTGTGCTCAGAAGTTGAAAACCTTGGCTGTTTCTGTGGGAATTCTATGGGGATTCCACAGGGTACTTTTAACCAAATGTGAACATGATGGACAGAATTATATTGGAGATTAATAGAACTATAAAAGAGAAGTATTAAACCATGCTGCCCAGCAATCCTGCAGCATTAGGAGTTACCTAGACACGTTCCTTTCCTGAATCCCTCTCCAGGGCCTAATACCGAACTTTTTAGGCTCTTTCTAAGGCTGCCCCATTTGTTGCATTGCTCTGTGAACTGCTGTGACATATCTGCTGCTTTTTGATGGAAGTACTGGAACTGGAATCACCAGTGGTGCCATTATTCCTTATATAGATGATTTAATTACAGCAGTGAGATGTTACAGGGTTAATTAATTGTTGCTTATTAAGTGCTTTGAGACCTTTGAATGAAAGATGCTCCATATGTGCAAGGGATGATTATTAGTTATTAACAGTGATGCTCCCAGCCATTTGCAGGGTAAAAACAATTTAGTTCCATCGTGAAATATTAAATTTACAGTCTAGTTGGATTCATGGCACATTTCAGGTTGCAAGTGCAAAGCCAAGTGTGGTGATGCACTGTGCCAAATTTGGCCTGTGGGAGTGGTTCCCATCAGCTTCCCTTGGAACAGAAAGGAGCTGGGAATGCAGCAGGTTGCAGAAGCTGGAGGAGGGGGTTGTGTGGGTGGAGGTTCCTGAGCTTCCAGTGAAATCCATAGGAAAGGGAAGAGCTCACAGGAATAGTGAGGTACAGATTTAATGATCTCTAAACCATGGTCATTGAACAGCATCCATTGGCTTGTGGGCAGCATTGTGGTTCCATTGCCTTCAGAGCCACCTTCTCCTTTGGAGGCTTTTCCTAAACATTCTCTCCATCAGCAGCAGTGAGAGGCTTGTCTGAGCTCCTGGACTGTGTATCTGGGTGGAAAATCAGGCTGCCTAAGCCTCTGCTATTTATCCTGGCACTCAGGATGCAGTGCTATGTCTAGAGAGATATTTCACCAGTTCTCAAAATTTAATAACTCAGTGTGTCAAAATATGAGCTGTTCAATTGCTGGAATTTCTTTACTCCTTTCAGAGAGATCTCTGTTCCCTTTGCTCCTTCTTGCCACATTTTTTCTTTCTTATATTGAGGAATGAACATATTTACTGATGAGAAGGAGGAAGAGGCAGAATTTTGTCCTTTTGTTGCTTCCCATGAATGAGCACAAAGTGCCTTATGAGGCTTTTTCCATACCTGGAGGTTCAGGATTTGCCTCCATCCCTGAGAGGAGCCCACTTGCCGTGGGGGTGTGTGTGAATGTTCTGCAATGCCTCAGAGTGGAAGGGGGCAAACACAAAGCAAGCTCTGACTCCTGTCCAAGCAAAGAAGACTGACATTCAAATGAGTGGCAAAGCCTTGTTTTGTGTCTCTAGGAAATGATCACTGATCACTGCAGCAGCTCCTCGGGTGTGACCCATCACAAAGGTGAGCACTGGGCATGGCTGCAGAACAGGGGGTGAATGGAGGGGCCTTAAAACATCCCCTGAGCTGGAGAACCTGGGCAGGGGATGTGAGGGTGCCCACAGCTCCTGCTGGATTGCACTGAAGGGTCTGCTCCAACTGAGGACTCTTGGATGTGGGAGAGAACCAAAGGAGTTGCCAAAGGGTGGGTTGGAACCCCTGCAGCACATTTCTAAATTCTTTAGCTGTACAAACCATCTTACAGGTAGAGCTGGAACCCTAAAATAACATGTCTGGTGGCTGCTACACACCTTAGGGGCTTGGTTCCTGCATTTCTAACCTTTCATCCAATCCCTCTCCCAAGGACAGTGTTTGTTGCTGGGGAGGAGCAGAACTGCCCTGCTCCTGCTCAGGAATTCTGTGCAGTACATCTGAACACCTGAGTCACTCTGCATATGCACACTGGCTGTGAGCTGCATGGTTAATGGCTCCAGAGTTCCCTGCCAGCCTCAGTCCTGCTCTGCAGGTGCTGTAGGGATGAGCTTAACATACCCAATGGATATGTTCAGGAGTCCTGGACACAGAACTGCCTCATCAAAGCTGCTGCAGGATACCCAGAAACCTGGGAAAGTGTATGTGTTCTTCACTCCTGCTCAGATAAAATCTGCTAGAAGGAAAAACAACAGCAAAACCAACAAAACATCCTGTGTATCTGACAGCCCTACAAAAAACCAAGTTGGTTTGGGGGTTTTGTTTGACTTTTTTGGGGTTGGTTTCTTGTTTTCTTCATCACTGTTTAGCACTGAAGTGTGGCATCCAAATGACAGGGTTTTTAAGCAACATGAAAGATTGTCTGAAAGGTTCTCCCCAGTTAGCTGGCACTATCCTCTGGAAAGTTTTCACCAGTTATAATGGACCTAAACCTTTTTCTGTTATCAATGAGCAAAGATCTAGATCTGTTTTTCAGCTCGATGGTTTAGGGGGGGCTTATTTTCATATGAACTGGCTTTATTTCCAGAGAATGAAGATAATTGTAAGGGGAAATGCCTTCCTGAAGGTGTAGGAATGTGTATGGGACACCAGGAGGACTCAGCATCTGAGCACATAAACTTCCTTGGGGAGAGCCTGTTGCTGTTTTCCTGCATATGTCCAGCAGCTGGTACTGCTGGGCCACAACTGGGGCTCTGAGATGCTCCTGGTGATGATAAAAATCTCCCACACATCAAGTGAGCCAAGGAAAACTCCAACAAATATACTGTTCAAACTTTTATATTCTGTTGGTGCAGGTTGGGATTTCTGACTTTGGGGAGGAAGTCAGGGCAAATTCCATTGGAAAGCCTGCTTCCCTTGAGCTGTCATGTAGTATGAGATATTGCAAATGCTGTGGCAGGTAGAGACGTGCATTTTTCTCAGTTACTGCTACAGCCCAGAAATGCAAATGTTTTTTATGCTACGACTGTTTTGACTCAGAAGAATTATTCTCTTTCCTGGGTTCTGATCACCCCTCAGCTGAGGTGTGCTGCTGGGCAGAGGCAGAGGGAGGATGGCTGGGTGCCCATCTTTGGGGGCGAGAGACTATTTTATTAAATCTTCCCGGACAGGGCGTTTCAATTTCTGGGGCTCCAGGGCTGAAACAGGCTCTGCTCCTCGAGGGGCCAGGAGGGACCTGCCAGGCTGGGAGGGGAATGGCACAGCCATGGCCAAGGGCTGAGCTCCAGGACTCAGCCCACGCCGTGATTTCCCCACTGAGGTGTCAGAGACACAGAAATCCCGTGAGGAGACGCTGGTGGGTCACGGGAGGCACCGAGAGATGCGTCTGCACAGGGCAAGGCAGGAAATAAATTGGTTTTGCATGGCTGAGTTATCACACAGTGACTTACTAAAGATGAGCTATAAAACTTGCAGAGTCTGGTTTACAATTTGCAGGATCTGGTTTACTATTTTATCCATGAAACCACTCTTTTAATATTCAGCTCCTGCTCATGGGATTGAAGGGATGGGGAAAACCATCTGCAACATGATTAGCAGTGTCAGTACAAAAGAGATCCTTTAACAAGGTGTTATGGCAGTCTGTTGTCTTCCTCTGCTTCAGCCAGCCCCTCTACCCCAGTGTCTTTATTTTCCCTGCTTAGTCAGCAGGTTCTAAAGCAGATTGAAAGTGAGGATGAAAGCAAACAGCCCTAAAAATGCTGACTTCTCAAAGCGCTGCACCCTGTCATTCAGGCACCCAGGGACAGAAGTACTACCAACATCTTCCTCACAGCAGGCTTTAATCTCCCTCTGTGGAGAGGGAAAATAATTTGCAAACAGCGATGCTAAAATTAAAAGCTTAGAAGAAATAATTCTTCATTCGACCCAAAGTAGGTGGTGTACAGAACAAAGAGGAAAAAAACAAACCCAGTCTAGTTTCCCCTTTTCTGAATATATAACTTTTTTAAAGCCTGGATGAATCAGCCTGGTGTATTAAACTCTCAGGGTGGTGGAGGGACTGCAAACTGCAACCTGGTTTTTGTGAGTCACTCTGCTCAGCAGCCTTTGCTCACAGGTTGTATCTCTTACATTTTTGTATTCCTG